GTGTGTGTGTGTGTGTGTGTGTGTGTGTGTGTGTGTGTGTTTGTAAATATACAGTATATGTGTTCGTGTGTGTGTGTGTGTGTGAATATGTATTATGTATATATGTGTATGTACTGTATGTGTATGTACATGTGTGTGTGTGTCTGGTTGTGTGTGTTTTGTGTATATTACTTAGCGTGGTTGTAATCATTGTACGTGTGTGTGTGTGTGTGTGTGTGTGTGTGTGTGTGTACATGCGCAAGGAGACACAAAGAGGAAGATAATGAAGATTTTGTTCAAACTTTCAAAATATTTCTGCAGTTGTAATAATGAATGAATTTAGCACCTCCAAATCTGGACCAAGTCCATAGAAGTCCATCTGAGTTCAGATTAGTTTGTTTAGAGTTTCAGTGACTACATTCAGATCCTAAAATGAAAACACTGTATTTGTGCGTCTGATTCACCACACTGAGCACAACACATCTGCCTGACAGCAAACAGCACATGTTTCTATATTGGTACACTCCAGCAGACTCACCACGGCATGAGCTCCATTATTCTCTCACTGAGAAACAAATATCTGAGCAAACATGTTCTCCTGATTCCATCATGAGCTACAGTCCATGTGCTAGTATCAGGGGTGAATTCAGAATGATGTGCATGGGAATATAAACAGAAAGACATGTTTTTACTACATGCTGCAGAATTATCATGTATCTACTACACCTTTGAATTAAAATAAACTCTGTGTGAATAGTCAGATAATTGAAGTTTTTTATCATTTATAGATGTGTTGATTCTAGTTTAAATAGAAAGCTGTGCCTCTGCAAACCAACTCTATGTATGTAGGAATACAACACTTTCATTGCATCAAGTTTGATACTATTGAAGTTAAATAATTGAGTCACAAGTCATTTTTTTGATACTTTACTTTAGAGCACGTTCGAACATAAGGCCAGCGGGCCAAATGTGGCCCGCCACAGCCTTTTATTTGGCCCGCGAGAGCTTCAAATATGAATGTCTTAAAATAGGCATATGATGCTTTAAAGCGAGCTTTGACCATAAACTACATCTCCCATGATACATGTTGGTATTTTCAGAGGTGCCAACCATTACGATCTCACCGTAATCATTACGATATTGAGACCTGCTCTGAACCATTACGGCGTACTTGACATTTATTACGATCTGGCCTTGCACTGAGCTTCTGGGAACCCCCTCCCGCTGCAGCAGCATTTTTCCACCTAAGCGGTTCAGTTTGGCACCCTGCAGCCCCCCCCCCCGCTTTTCGACCCACTTTCGGCCCACTCAGACCTCCTCTCGAGGTAGTACTGAGGCTGCCCGGCACCATTTGGGGAGTGGAGGTGCCGAAGCGTGTAGCAGTCGTGGTGCGCTGGGAAAAGCAAAAATATATTGAGCCGGTTTTCAGAGCAGTGAAGGACCACAACAACAGCCGGAGTGTCAAAGCAGTGGGACTAGAGCTGCTTTAGTTAAATGGAGGGGATCTCTCTCTACAGCCATCGTTCTGTGCTGCTAACTGTAGACTGGACTCTTCACAAACTTCATCTGCAGACGGTGAGTGCTTCGTGCATTTAGTGAGATATTGAAAGTAATTTATGGGACACGTGTCGCTTGTCAAACTGTACCATTTATTTATAAAGTTTGTTACGATGTGTCGTTTGTGCGTGTTCGTTTCCAATGCTAACTAGTTAGCAGCTAGTGGCTATTGCTAGTTAGCGATCGAGGCTAAAAACAACACCCCCAGCTCTACATTTATTGTAATTAGTAATTAATTTTAACTGTGGTGAGCAGCGAAGGAGCTGTGTGTGTGTGTTTGTGTGTGTGTATGTGTGTGTGTTTGTGTGCGCGCTTGATAGGAAGACGTCAGTGCAGTGCATTGTGTGTGTTTTTTTGTTTGTTCTGATACGACGCAACAGCAAGTGAACCGCGGAGGATAAATCTACAGATTTCACGGAGGGAATATTAAAAATGACATGAAACAGCAACTTTGTATAATTTGTTCAAAAATATTTAATCACCACAGAATAACTAAAGTGAGCTAATTCTGTTGTTTTGTTTGAAACAAGGCAGCAGGCGTCTGCCACATAATAAATACGTTGCGGTCCAGTTCAGCCCAGCTGAGTTGCTCCACCCCTCTTTGCTGCGGGTTCATTTATGAACGCATCCATGTGAGCAGGACCAGCCCGCCTTCACCTGTGGTCTTATGAATGACTCGGGGAGGCAATATTAGGGTAGATGTATGTACTGTTTAGCAAATTTATGGTCATAAAGCACCTATTTTATAAACCCTGTTTTATCACTTGTTACTTATAATCTCTCCATCTAGAAATAAGTAGGTTTGTATGAATACTTTGAAGTTTAAAGATATAAATTCCACATAATTTTTATTATGCGCACAAACTTTCAATAACGAACGCACGCTGCGCGACGCAAATGCTCTGAGACAATCATTATGATTTGGGATGGCTCCAGGTTGGCACCTCTATATTTTACCTACAAAATGACAGCATCCAAATCTCCATTTCACAGCATTTTTTGCCAGCTACTTTTGCTGTGTCCCAGTTGTACTGAGAGGTGGGAACGTCCCATCAACAAGTTGTAAATTTAAACTCGGAAAGTGGGAGAGCTCAGAATCCAAGATGGCCACTATTCATCACAACTCAACAGTGAGTAAAACTGTCTTACTTTTACTTCCAATAGTATTTGTGTATTATTTATTTCAAGTTTGGTTGTACACGTAGTACTTTTCAGTGTTAATAAGAGGACATGTTTCTCGGCAGGAAATACCACGTAGAGCTCAGTTAATGTTTGTTGGCAGTGCTCAGCTGTAGCAATGAGATGAGGAACATGACGTTTCGTGTTTTTAGTCAAAGTTAAACACAAAACGTAGACGTTAATTGAAACTGGTCCTTTGAGGACCACCATAATGTTCAGTGTGACCCTCGGTGAAAATTAGTTTGATTTCTCTGAGTGACATCGTCATCCAAAAGCAGACAGATGTGAATGGTGATTAAAAGAGTTGGTTTATGCAAAAAAATAAATAAATAAAATAATAATAATAATAAAACAGAAACACAACATTTTTTGCTTGACAGAAATGATTTGTGTGTCTCTTTCACTGATACAACTCCTTTGGCTTTAATGAAGAATGATGCATTGTGGGACAACTGTGCTGATAAGCTACTGGTAGTGTTTTAATTTTGTACCCATTAACTTTTAATTAATTAATTAATTTGTCTTCTTTTTTCTTCTTTCTGCTACATTTAATTTTATTTGTGTTGTATTATTATTTGTTGTATGCGTTTGTTCTGTTTTTAAATGAAATGAATAAATTTGTTTAAAAAAACAACAGGAGACATTTGCAGGTTAGGTATTTGTCATCCTTGGGTTTTTTTTTTTTTTTGGTTCAACAATAAACTTATTTTTTTAAAACAATGGCGAAGTTGGATTTTTGCCACCAAAATAAACAAAATATGTTTACTAGTTTTGGTAAATTAAACAAGTGCAGGGAGATAAAATCTGTGTTTCTGACCTCTTCTGGAGACTCACATCGCTGACAGTGGCAGGTAAAGTGGTACTGGTCCTCCAGCTGCTTCCGTCGATCCTCAGTCAGGGACAGCGTCTCAGTGTAACTTATAGTCAGCTGCAAAGAAAGAAAACACGACAGCAAAGTTCATGTGACAATATCTCTGTTCACAGAACTACTGGGAGGTTCAGTGCAGATATCTGATTAAACTGAGTGCAGAGAAAATGATGTAGTATGTGGGTGTGTGAGTGTGTCTAAGTCCAGATGGCTTGGGCGCATCTCATTACATAAAGTCACAATGCATCTCATTACACACAGTCACCAGGGATGAAGGCAAAATGAAGAGAATGCTGCCAAGTTAGGAGCTGTTATATCCTTGTGTTACTTTTTATTAATCCTGTAATAACAACACTAACTGCACCAGAATATATGATTATTATGTATAAAGTGTGTGGGAATAAAAGCGGGCTCGTGTTTAAAACCTGTTCATGATGTGAAAAGGCAGTTTCGTTTCTTCCTCGTACCTCATCTCCAGGGTTGACATCCTGCACAGCTCGGAGCTGAATTTTTGTTCCCTCAAACACCATCACACAGTTTGGCCTGCAGTCATGGTTTAATAGAGATAAACTGAGGCAGAGCCGACAGGAACAGGACAGGGCACCGGTCGGGGGGAGTGAAGGTAAAAGAGAGAGAAGACAAGAAATATAGATGGAGAGAAGAGAGTCAGAAAGGTTATTTTTTCTGTTAATAAAGGTTAAACCTTTAAATAAATTCTCTGTATTTTTTTAAAATCTTTTTAAAGATCCAACAATCTGTTCATTGAGCTTGAGGAAACGTTGATCCCTCTGTGTGAGAAGTTTTTAGGTAGGTAGTCAGTAATTATCTGCACATACATATAATATACAAGATACTAACACATACATTTCTGTCTACTTTCTCCTTCACTCAGATGAACATAAATCCCTCAAAATTAACACTACTATCAAAATACCAGTTTTATTTCGTTTCCCAAATATCTCTCAGCAACTAATTATGTTTTCCTCTCCTGCTTGCAGAGCCTTACTGATCAGGTTTCAATCAGCCTTTCTGAAACCTTATTTTGAAGATGCAAATTGGATTGCAATTTATTCAGATTTTTTTTCACCTTTTTGAGGAAAAAGTGCACTGAAAAATGCTCACTAATAACTTTTTAACCTTGTTGAATGCATAGTCAATTATTATGACCCCCGCACACGAAGCATAAGCGGGAGTCGTATTGTTTTCATACCGTTTATTTTTTGTTTGTTTGTTTTTTTCCTCTGGAGATTTTTGGTCAACCGTAGCACAAAAACGGCTGCACCGATCAACATGAGATTTGGCAGGACTGTAGATGAGTCTGACCTACACTGCACCAGCAAATAGTTTTACGATAGACCCCATATTTGAGGAGGGGCTCCTTTCAAAGTGGGGGTGTCTGGACATGCAAAAACGCTTATAACTCAGAAACTGTTCAACATTAAAGCTTCAGATTTCTTTTGTTGTTTAGCTCGGATGAAGCTCTATCCATCAGGCCCACCAATCAGTGCCCCCCCCCCCCCCCCCCCCCCCCCCCCCC